GTAATTTACGGAAATTCATTTTGTAAGATTCAACGGTATGTTTATTTGCCAAGACATTGTTTTGACTCCAAATATTTGTCACGAGAATCTCGTTCAATTTTCAGAGGAAATTGCAGTAAATCGTAATGTTAAACGAGTAAACAATCACAGTTATATTAAGAAATATCATTTACAGAAATGTAAAATATACAACCCCTGCAATTCGCAAAAGATGAAACGGCATACATATTTATTTACCATTAGCAAAACTTCTTAGGAACTTTGAGTTTCCTTAACGGTAATTGCATTTCCTCTTTAAGACAGCAAAGTGAATATTTGCCACAGAGTTGGACGTAATCTGATTAACAATTAACGAATATAATTAATGTGGAATCAGAATGTTAATTATGATTACTGACTATCAAATAACCAATAATTGCTGATTAATAAATAAGGGAATTAGTCATAAAATGATTCCAATTATGATTGTATTTTATTTATTATGATTGTAGTTTACTTCTATCAACAATACTGTGTATATTTTGTAGAAACTACATATTTTTTATTTGCATTGTTTTGCAATGTACACTGTTTTATTAGTGTTCAAAATATTTTCCATCAATTGAAAATCTCATCTATAGTCCTTGAGTCGTTATTGGTACATCTTCTTGTATGGCTTAATGAAAATGAATTTTAATGATAAACTTACCTTTGTCAAGATTTTATTTGATAAGAGAACAATTACTCCTATCTTCAATATTCAAAATTCACCAAAATTAGTAAATATTATTTACTTCTGAATATGTGATCCATATTATTCGTTTGAGATCTTAAATCATTTTGCTCCTGAACGATGAAAACTATTTACCTAAAACTTAAGTCCTTAAATTTTTCTAGCAGATGGAACAAATATTTGTTATCATATTTTAAGTCGATTTAGAAAGATCTTATCTTTAAGAGAATCAAAATAATGTCACTTATGAAAGAAATGCCAATATTTCATAACGATGATAGATGTACGATTGATAGTAAATTATTGTGAATGGTCGATCATTTAAGATAATCGAGAGTCTATTATAAATATGTCAATATCACATAATTAATATTTATTTGAACGTTGTTCTTTAATGTTTTTATTGATATAAATAGAAATAAAGATATTTAAAATGCAATATAGTAAGCTCGCACGATTGCATTTTATTTTCGATATAAAAATAAGATAATTAATTAAAACATGTATACACTCGCAATGAAAACATATGAATAGCTAATTACGATGGAATCTGTTTAATTAATTTTTCTTATTCTCTCATTTTACTGTATCAGAGGAAAAAAAAATTTTATTATTACTTTATAATTTCAATATATCCATAATTTCAGCATAAATACAATTAAATTAGTTCATAAAAAGGTAAAGAGAGTTCAATAGGCATCATTAATACATAATGAAAAGGAAATAATTATTGACTGATCGTGGAAAAGAAAATGCGAAATATAAACAATGTTGCAGACAGAGGTATAAATGTGCATAATTATCGATAATATTTAAGAGTAATAAGCAATATTTTTTAAATATGACGCCATGACGCAAAGTAGAGAAGTCAATCTAATTACTGAAACTTTCACACCGAATAAATGTTATGGAATGAAATGTAACTGAAATGTAAAAAACAAAAATTATAAATTTTATTAACAGGTCAGCATAGTCTAGAATAAATTGCAATTTGCGAACCACCTACTAATTGGACGTTTTGAATACGAACAAGATTGGTCGGTGTATCCATTGTCATCGATGAAAAGGACTTTTTATTTATGTTGCGGACACGAACCTATTGTGTCTGTTACTTAAGAATCGGTATTGTTGCAACGTGTAATTAAGCCTGACTAACCGTGGCTATCTTTGAAAAACTAATATAAATAAATTATAACAGCAGCTACTAAAAGTCCATAATATTGTTTCTCTCCATTTTCCTTGGTTTCTTTTTTACCGCTATATGAAAAACGTCACATTTCAGTTGAACATGCATTCTGTCATACGAATAAAAACAAAATGGAAATTCCAGAAGGCACATATACTTTCTTGCTGAACCATTCTAAACCATTTTTCATTCGTACTCGTGACTGTGAAAGAAAAAATAAAAAAAAAGAATGATCATAAGAATAATCGATGGAGTCACATCGTAAATCTATTTCCACTGTCATTTATACCTTGGTAATATACTGCAGCGTCAGAGCTGTTCTGTCAATTTTTATAGATCGATATTTCCTTCGTTTGATTCTAATTCCTTTTACGAAGCAAAATTTCAAGTTTTCTTGAAAACGAGATAGCCGAAGTTACGTTATACTATGTCATAAGTAAACAAGTAAACAAGTAAACGTAGATGTTTCTACTTTCACGGCTAGATATTAAGATAAGTCAGTAGAATGACATTTCCCATGAAAGGATTTCGCTTAATAGCATTAATTAACCAGTAACTGGATTATAAAATCGTAATCGTTAATAGTGTTGCCA